ACTTGAAGTTCACTTTGGCGGAAGAAGAATACGTAACAGCTGCATATTTGGTGTCAAACATGGGATTAATCATTTTCCCCATCACGTTTACAAGTGCCCTTTTCCCTTTATCAAATTCGCACAGGCCGATTGATCCTGAGCCGTCGATAACGGCAACGATATCCTCCTTCGAATTGCTTCTCTTAGTAATCCTCGAGTAACCAATGCCTAAGAAACTCGCCATGAATTTATCGGCAGTCACACTGGTTGAAGGGACAGCTTGAAAAGCTGAAATTAAGGTTAAACAAGAATTCAGTTTGGAAGTATACAACTCTATAACTGGAACTGACACGTACAAAGAACACATCTTTTGGGAAGCCCACTGACATAAATACTACTGTACATGTTACTAATTTCTTTTTCCTCTTTGCATTACTTTACCAAATGCAATTTTCCAACCTACATTTCTAATTAAAGAGCAATCTCAACCAAGCATAGGTAAAGCAGTAGCCGTTCTTAACATGTAATTAATTCAAGATATTACGTCTGGCATTGACCCGGGCCACGAGGTCTACTTGATAATAAACAAACATGGGAATTAAAGCAGTTCGTAAAGACTCGCGCATTTAGTAAATTTTAGCTTTGTAGGCTGAAGTGTATTTCATCCTTTAACAAAATCTTCCGTCCATCATCTGGGTTTTTGCATCCTGTCAATTTCAGTTTTCAAAGACATCGAAGCAATAATATTTGCTTCAACGACCGAGCGCGATGGAGTATCTGAATTTAGCTAAAACGTGTAAAATAGATTTCACAACCACATGAAATGTGTGGAACTCCTCCATATTTTCTTTGTTAAGCAATGCCCTTGCTGCGTGACAAATGTTTTTTTTCTTTTAAACTTCTTTGACCTTCAGCAACAGGGAAGCCGATTTAGAACACGACTAAGATACATGGGTCGTAAAGTAGTCTGATTGCTTTATTGTAATTAGATCCAGATATCGTTTAAACGAAGATCTGATCTACAGCCACAAACAACCTAATTAAACGAACTGGTAACGTAACTAGGGTTTGTGGTGCTGAAGGTTACCATGATCTCGGATAATCGCTTTAGAATGCGCAGTAACAGATATCACGTCTGGTGGATATCGATTTGGAGAAGACTAAGAGAGATGAAAGAGCCGAAAGACTACTGACGACAACTTTTATATGTAATTATAGAAGCAAACAAACAATCTGAGGCCCTTTCAGATACCTATAGGAAAACCTTTCCCTGATCCTTCGCGCACTTCAAGCCATGAAATATCTTGAAACCTAAGTCTCTTGAAGCCTGGCACATTCGGTGCGCAGAAGTCTCCCGCACGGCCAACAATCTTCGCCTCCCAAGTGGCCGCCGAACCGTGCTCAATCTCGGGTTCTTAGCAGCTATTCTTTGGGTTGTCACGCAACGATTACGAGAAGCGGCTGCTAACATTGTCAGGGCAAATTTCACTAGCTTATGTACTTTCTGTAAGAAAAATGTCAGTTTGTCTGAGAAAATTTCATTAGTAGTGTTATTCATTCCAAATTCAAAATTGGGCGCCCATTGCCCTCCAAAGGGCGCGTTCCGGAGTTCGAATTCTTTGATTCATCGGAAATAGAACGACTGCTAAAATAGCGTCTTCTACTTTCGCCTCCTATAGGAGGCAGTAGCTACAAAAATTGATCTTTTTAGCTGTCACAGTATTGATTCGCACCGACGAAGGGCTAACGCCCGAAACGTCAGCTTCCGACTCTTTTAAAGGTGGCCCATTCACATCATCAACTCAGTTAATAAAACCTAGTTATCTTAAAGCAGCGA